AAGTACAATGCTTTAGAGGTATTTCATTTCGTTATTAGATGACGGTAAAATTTGCAGTGGGCTCTTGGGCTATTTGTGTAAAAAGTTTTTGTTCTAAATACACTTTTTTCTTGAGTACGAAAGATTTAAAAAAGGTCCTTTATTTAACAACTTCGTACTCAATCCCAACCACATATAGCTACCCTCACCCCTAACACTTTTTTCTCTGTTTTAATTATATTATTTATAAAAATATCTTAATTGTTTGTAGTAGTTCCAATGAGATATTTTTCGTTGATTTATATTTGATAAGTACTTTGTTTCTTAATTGAATCACACATTTTATACTCCAAGGCAAAAACGATTTTTTAAAATTAGTAGTTTTTAGAGGTACGTGCTTATCAAGTAGATAGTATATGAAATTGTTAATAGTTTTGATTTTTTATCAATGTAAAGCTGTCCCAATTTAATGCTTTGAAATCTTCCTTCAATAAATTAAAAAACTGCGGTAGGTTTTGTTACCTCAATATATAAAACAAAATCCGTAAGAGAGTGGTCTATGGTTTTCATTACAATATTATATTCTATTGTTAGTATCGACAAACCTTATGTTTTTGTATAGTTAGTTACATTAAAACGTGAATACGGACCGGTTCAAACATCTTCAACCATTCAAGCTCCCGCGATACAATCTCCAGAATAGGGAACGTGTCCTGAATGTTTCTGAAAATATCCTTAGAATGTAACTTTTACTCTAAACGTCCCACACATGGTTGACGGATTTACGAGCGTCTTATTCCGGCCACAGACCAAACGGCGCCTTTGATGTCCGACCATCTTCGTTTGATGTTCAACTGTTTTTCGGACGTTTCGAGATTGTCATCTTCGAGATCGCGGAAAGGTAGTTTTGTGTATTTTTAAGGTTATGTCTTCAGCACGGTAATGTTGAAGTTAAGAATGAGAATCTGTTTTGCGTTCTTTTTTATTGTTTTTATCTCATTTTTATCTAGGAAGTCGCGGTCACGGTGTGGTCAAAGGTCGACGTGGAATTTTCTGAATGAACGTGCTTCACACTAGTTTTAGAATGTCATTTATTTTATGTTAGTATTTTAGACTGATGAACTAACTATAAAATGTATATTAATTTTCTAAAGTTTTTTTTGTTTTAATTTATTGTTACTAGTCGGCGGCGACTATCCTACAATTTTATTTTAATTTCTTAAAACTAAGGTACTGAACAAAAATAATCACATTGGTGTCTCTTAGGCTTTAAATTAAGCAAAACATTTTGGCGTGTTTCACTATGCTCTTCTCTAAACTCTGCTGTCTTCTTTAATGGTCGGTCTTCAAATCTCTATGAAGATGATCATTACTATAATATTTATGGTGCGTCTACAATAACTCGAAACTCTTTGTTCTGAAAAATTAGAATTTAGTATATGTTGTTCTTTGTACCACGGGCAAATTCGTAACATAAAATAAACAAGAAATGATTTGATTTTAAACGAAGGATTAAAATAAGATGCCATCTAGGAGCAGTGAGATGGATGAACGTCAATCAAGAAAACTGTTATATAGGTACACGTTGTTTAGCGGCACTAAGATGATCTCAAATCTTCGTTCACGTGAACGATAATTACTTATCATTAAGACAATAAAAACCGATTAAAAAACATTTAAAAAAATTAAAAGCAGTTAAAAACGATAAAAAAAAGATAAAAAAAACCGATAAAAAACGATTAAGAAACGATAAAAACCGATAAAAGCTATTAAAAACGGTTAAAAACGGTTAAAAACGGTTAAAAACTCTTAAAAATGGTTAAAAACGATTAAAAACCATTAAAAAGGATTAAAAACTATTAAAAACGATTCAACACGATTAAAAACGATTAAAAACTATTAAAAACGATTAAAAAGATTTAAAACGATTAAAAACGATTAAAAAGATTTAAAACGATTACAAAGGATTAAAAAGGTTTAAAAACAAATAAAACGATTAAAAACGATTAAAAACGATTGAAAAATCTTGAAAACTATTTATAACGATTAAAAACAAATAAAACGATTAAAAAGATTGAAAACGAATAAAAGCGATTGAAAACGATTGAAAACTACTTAAAACGATTAAAAACTATTGAAACAGATTAAAAACTATTAAAAACGATTAAAAACGTTTAAAAACGATTAAAAACGATTAAAAACGATTAAAAATTATTAAAAACGATTATAAACGATTAAAAATGATTAAAAACGATTAAAAACGATTAAAAACGATTAAAAACGATTAAAAACGATTAAAAACGATTAAAAACGATTAAAAACGATTAAAAACGATTAAAAACGATTAAAAACGATTAAAAACGATTAAAAACGATTAAAAACGATTAAAAACGATTAAAAACGATTAAAAACGATTAAAAACGATTAAAAACGATTAAAAACGATTAAAAACGATTAAAAACGATTAAAAACGATTAAAAACGATTAAAAACGATTAAAAACGATTAAAAACGATTAAAAACGATTAAAAACGATTAAAAACGATTAAAAACGATTAAAAACGCTTAAAAACGCTTAAAAACGATTAAAAACGATTAAAAACGATTAAAAACGATTAAAAACGATTAAAAACGATTAAAAACGATTAAAAACGATTAAAAACGATTAAAAACTATTAAAAACGATTAAAAACGATTAAAAACGATTAAAAACGATTAAAAACGATTAAAAATGATTAAAAACGATTAAAAACGATTAAAAACGATTAAAAACGATTAAAAACGATTAAAAACGATTAAAAACTATTAAAAACTATTAAAAACGATTAAAAACGATTAAAAACGATTAAAAACGATTAAAAACGATTAAAAACGATTAAAAACGATTAAAAACGATTAAAAACGATTAAAAACAATTAAAAACGATTAAAAATGATTAAAAACGATTAAAAACGATTAAAAACTATTAAAAACGATTAAAAAGAATAAAAACGATTAGGAACAATTTAAAACGGTTAAAAACTCTTAAAACCGATTAAAAAATTTAAAACATAGTTAAAAATTATTAAAAAAGATTAGAAGCACTAAAAAAAATTAAAAAGAATTAAAAAAATTAAAAAACATGAAAGTTTTTAAAATCAATTCAATATCAATTAAAAACAATTAAAACTCATTTAAAAACATTTAAAAAAACAAATAAAAATAAATTAAGAATAATTTAAAAAATAATTGAAAAACAAAAATCATTAAACACAAAAACAAATAAAAAAACAAATAAAACCAAATAAAAAACAACTAAAAACAACTAAAAACAACTAAAAACAATTAAAAACCATTAAATACAATTCAAAAGTCATTAAAAATTATTTAAAAAATATTTAAAATACAATTAAAAGAGCATTTTAAAAACAATTAAAAACAGAAGACAATTAAAGAAAAACAATGATTATTATGCGGTTAGAAAAGAACTTTTCCATCAGGGTTGTAAACATGTTCACACGTTAAAGTGAGACCCTTCCTGTTGAAACAAATTTTCAGGTTTGTGAAGCTTTGCGTTACTCAAGTTAATTCACGTAGAGGATCTTAACATTGCTAGTCCTGGTTTTTAATAACAATTCCTTGTAATTGGAGTTGCGAATTTGTTGAAAAATGTATATAAAAATATTTGTGATCCATATAAAATTTATATTTGGGCCTTTTACCTTTTTGATCCCAATATCAAATTGAGATACGAGCTCTACTCTGGAATTCGTCAAAACTCATACAAAATGATATTTACCATCATATATGTTATTAGCGTAAGATCCACCTTTATTTCAACTTAAAACTTTATTTTAGGCGACTCTCAAAAAAACATCTCTAAAGTGTCACTTTTTTGACCGCTTTCTATAAACACAAGTTTATTATACTATTGTTAGTATTTCTGTATAAATTTTATTAGTTAACGATGGATTTTTATTCGATCAATAAAAATTTGAAACAATTCTTGCGTTTAAGCCTTTTTTCAAAAACAAGAATGTAAAAAAAATATTGGTTCTACTTGATGAGATAGTCGCCTAAAAAAGGTTGTGTGCTCTTTGGTCGTATGAACTTTTTTGGTCTAACCAGACGTTACTGGCCCTCAGCCACAAATACCAGAAATTTAGCCGAATCCTCTAATTTTTAGATTTTTAAAAAGCTCAACATCCATGGACTCGGGACCAACGGCTTTAGATCTACTCTGAAAGATGACACGCTATTCTTCGTACTAATTATTATTATTCCTACTAGCTACGGTATGCAACTACGCGAGCAGTTTGTTTGGGATTCTAAAGATACGCCAACTTTCCTTGGATACCCATCCAAGTACTAATTACAGACAGCCTTATTTGACTGCAGATATCGATACACAATAGTTAACCTACCAAGCCGGGCCGCTTCCCTCCTTAAAGCAATCATCTACCGTTTCGCTTACAATAAATAATCATTCAAACAAAATCTTTAAAAAAAAAACTTCAAATAATATATTTGACATTTATTAATGACAGCAGTAAAGAAAAAATATTTATCGACAAGGCATAGCATCGAGTGAAATTGTACCCGTGTCGCAGTTGGAAAAATAAACTCCATTGCATTAAAAAATGCTAATATTTAAAGCAATAATGTTAACTCGAAAATTCTGACAATCTCTAGGGTTCTCAGCTTGAAGAAATTATAAAGTAAAGTCAAAAATTCGATCGAACCTTCGCTCTAGAGTTATCGTGTCGGCAAGACTAAAACGTGAAGCAGTCTTAAAAAGTAAGGGTAAGAAAATGGATATTGCGACCTCAGTAATAAATTTAAAATCTATGCATTCTTGATGTTTATGTTTATTTACCTCAAATAAATTTTAGTTTTATAACTAGATGTATAATTATTAACATAACTATTGTAATTTTTATTAATCAAAACACCCACCTACGCTTTCGCTTTCCTACGCCACTGGCTAGTTAAATTAATTTTTTTGATACAAGAACTCGAATAAAAATACTGATAAACAGTTCAGTTTGAATTAACTATCGATTGTCAATGTTTACTAGGTTTTGTTGTTAAAGTTTAAAATGCATTTTGGTGGAAGATTACATTTCTTCTTAACAAAATGGGTGTGTTGTTCTTTGATAAACTTAACAGTAGCTTGCAGATTGATTGCATTTGCTGGAATCGTAAGTAGATTTAAAGAATATTTTATTAGTTTGTCTATGATTTGATATTTTTGAAACAAAACAGAAAACATTTCTTAATTATAAAAACAAAACCAATATTTTTATCTAAAATTTACTGTATTTATAACATTTTAGACGATATCACTTTGGCTAACCATAGCTTTCGCCAGCGACAAATTTTGGACAAAAGACGCCAATTTTGATGTTAGTAGAAAAACAGCTTTGGCTCTAGGTTTAGATTGGCAACATTTGCATAAAAATACTAGTTTAAAATTGCAAGATGATCCTGATGGTAAAATAAAATAATAATTAATAAAAATAATTGCTGTTTTTGATTTTTATTCTTTTTTAGGAAAGATGATAGCAATCGTCGTAGCGTTTTATTCATTTCTTGTACTAGGAATAAATTTACTTCTTTTTGTTGCCACGATAAGGGTAAGAGTTTTATTATATTACTTTTTATAACCACATAACTAATGAATATTTTTATTTACTACTAAAATATCGATGCACTAAAATGTAAATGCAGGTACTGAATTTTTAACACACAAGAAAAGTATAGTTTAGAATAAGTTGAACAAAGTTTAATAGAAACATGCCCATAACAGAAACAGAGATAGCTATTAGCGACCATCGATACGATTCATTATAAAATAGTGTTATTGTTAAATATTATATGTACAGGGTGTTCGATAAGTACGGTACATAACTTCAGGAGCGTATTCTGGAGCTAAAATAAAGGTATTTTTGTCAACAATGTCTCAAAAATGCTTCGTTACGGAAATACAGGGTGTGAAGTTTCATAAAAAAAATACAATTTTTTAAATATTTCCAAAACCACCTGGGGACCTATTTTCAAACCGTGTGAGTACTCATTTCTCTCAAGATTCTCATCAGAAATGTCATACGTCAATGTGGAAACGCTGTTTTTAAAGGTCTCGAGGATTAAAATTCTTAGGAGGATATTAATTATCTCTAAATAAACCGTGAGAAACAATCAGTGAGTTTACACTGGCCCTTAGGACCCTAAAAATACTGTTTTACGTTGACGTATGACATTTCTCTCGAGAGAAATGAATTCTCTCGACTTTGAAAATAGCACCCCTGAGATAGTTTAATTAAATTTTTGCAGCTATTGAGAGTTAGCAACATTGCGTGTTTTACTGTAAGCACAGTGGCTTTCGTTTAACCAGTGGCGTGCGGACAAGGTAATAGCTGAAAAATATGGAAGGAAAAACGTGTTACGCCGCTGTTCTTTTCCAATATAAATAATCACTTATAACAAAGAATCAAAGCAAATGTTGAAAATGGCCACCTTTCTTATGGTATTACAACCTTGAATTATTCGATTTCTTAAATAATTTTCATTTAATACAGGTGTCTCATACACGAGTGATTTAAGGTAACCCCATAAATAAAAGTACAAGGGATTAAGATCGGGACTGCGAGATGGCCAAGCTTGAGGACCTCCGCGTCCAATCCAGCGATTAGGAAAAGTGTTGTCGAGGTATTGGCGAGCAAGAAGGCTAAAATGGGCTGGTGCACCATTGTGCATAAACCATAAATCGCCTCTTAGTTGCAGAGGCACTTTTTTAAACAGACCATTTAGTTCTTCGTGTAAAAACTGAGTATACGAATCGCCATTCAGTCGAGGGGGTAAAAAGTATGGTCCAATAAGGTGGTCATCAATAATCCCTATTAATACATTTAATGAAAATGTTTGCTGAAAGCGATCTTCTCTTATTGCATGAGGATTCTCCTCAGCCCATAAATGTTCAATATGAAAATTAATAATTGCTTCTCGCGAAAAAGTTGCCTCATCAATAAATAAAATTAGGGTTAAAAAATTGTAGATATAAGCAACTTTATGGAGCAACCACCTACTAAAATTTAGCCTTGGCTGAAAGTCGCGGGACAGCAGAGCTTGTACTCGTTGTATGTGGTATGGGTAAAGCAGTATTTGCACTTACTTGAAGCTGTTGTGCAATTTTGCTGGTACTAGTTGAAGGATTTTCTTCTATCTTCTGTAGTATAGCTTCTTCTAGCTCAGCCATTTGAGCCATTTTAGCGTTAGTAAAGTTATTTATTTTAATGTCTGACATACAAATAAACAATTGGCGACTAGTAAAATGTCAAACAAGTACCTGGGAAAAATTGAAGATATCTTTTTTGTTGTACATTTGTTCAAAGAGATTAAAAATAATAAAAAAGAATAAAGAAATTTACTGTCTCTGTTACTTTTTCTTTCAAATCGAACATTAAAAACAGAACAGTGGGGTAACACGTTTTTCCTTCCATATTTTTCAGCGATTAGTTTGATTAAAATATCTTAAGTGGTTTTGGAAATAACCCCATTTTTACACATTTTACACAACCGCAACTCACCATACACTATTTTATATTGTTAATTATTTATTTAATATTTTTGCCACCCGCTATACACCATTTCTTTTTTTTTTTTTTAATTAAAAATCTGAGCAGGGATCGAACTCACGACACGTCCATTGTCGTTCTACGCTTTTAACCACTAGACGATCTCGACCAAGGAGCCGCTTGAAAACTTTTTTATAGTTATTAGAAGATTTCAAACTTCCGCTGATAAAATGAAATGCAATAGATTCAATTTGTCAATTTTTAATGACCAATTATATTTAAAAAAGAAATTGTATATAGATGGGTATTATATGGTAGGCTAAATAAATAATGACCTAAGATGGACGTCCACTGGACGTCAAAATACTACTAATTAAGTCCAAAAACAGACGTCCTCTGGGTGTCGATATGCAGCTGCCAAATAAATGATCATAAACGGAGATACACTGGTTGCTCAAATACGGATATATGGACGTGGTGACCCTCAAATGGACCTAAAGTGGACGTCCATTCGACTGTGTGCTGTCTAGGTAGGTATATTCTTGGTAACAATTGAACAGTTGCTGTCATGTCAATATGCTCATGTGTGAAATCGAATTAATGAAATACTAGTTTATTTAGTTTTTCCTATTTAATTAAAAATGTTTCTTAACAAATTTGATATACATGTGTACTATGGACGACTATTTTACAATAGCAAACAAACATTATCGCCACCAGTATTAAAAGGTAAACTAAAAATAAAACTGAATGTATAGATAGCAGAGTCGCTTTACTTTTGCAGCCTAGGCCTTAAAAGTATTTTTCAATAATTTATTTGAAGTATACTTAAAAGTTTATCCTTTTCGATTATGTTTTTTGTCCAAAAAACGACGTTTTATGCCACATTAGAATAAAAAATTGAATATGTCACCAGTTTGCGAAAAGAAGATAAATAAAAATAAACTTTTTTTTATTCGAATGTGTCAAATAAATAAAAAGTATTTAGTTTTGAGTGCGAATACTTTAAAAACCAATCACTTTATAAGTTTCCAACAAGAGTGCAAGATCTATTTAAAAAATATAAAAAAATGTAAAATTATAGTCCAAATAGGTTTTTGGAAAGTGGCATAAAATTTAGAAGGGGGAAAGGTGTTAAGTACATATACCGTATGCCACCGGCAACGTCTATTTTACTAATTGGTGTATCTTATGACACCAAAAACGAAATTAGTAAAATTATACTGAGTAATCAAAAAATTAAAGCCATTAATAATTTTTGAATTTTTAACTTTAACGAATAACATTTTTACCTAAGCATCTTATTTTTAATCAAAAAATCTTCCGTTGTTCTATGTCCTTAAAATATAGTTCATAAATTAATACTACAAATGATTCAAAACATTTATTTTATTTTTTTTTTTTTATTTTTAGTATGATTGGTGTTTTTCATTGCCATGGTTAATTGTGGAAATGCTGAGTTGCGTTTCAAAATTTGGGGCACTGATTTTTCATTGGAATTGCGATTTTCAGGATCTCCAGTGGGGCTTCTTCGTCGGGTCTATTATATACATAGGTAAAGCCATTTTTTCAAGTTTTACAAATAAACTTTTCAGCTAATTTTTTACTTAACAATATATTTTTCCTACGACTGCTTAGGAAAGTGATACATATCGCACTATTTAGCCTTATGGTAAGTGCCCTATATCACACCTGTGTGGATAAGAATCTACTTTCCGCCCGAGTGTGAATATGAATCTACTTTCTGCTTCATTTAAATGTTCATATTAATAGTAAAATTGATTTATGATTAAAATTGGTAACATTGATTTTTATACCTAGATCCTAGTTATTTATTTTTTTAAATTATTAAAATAATTTAAAAGTATGTACCTAACTACATTATTTTTAAAAGAACTAAAAAATGAAATTCTCTAAGCCATGTGTCACAAAATAAATTTAAATTTACATGTACATTCATTATATTTATTTTCTGGTTAATAGATAGTTTTGATAATTCACCCAACATAAGCCTTTATGGCTCAGATCGTTAAGTGTTCTAATTTACCAATCTTAGGTTCAGCGAGGCAGGTTCAATTTCCGATGAAAGTAATCTTTTTTTATTTATTTAATTTTCTATTTTGGGAAAATATGAAAAATAAAATAATACGACTATTCTTGTTTATTTATTTTAAATACATTTTATTTATCATAATGTGTATAACCCCTACAGTTAGATAATTCGGTAATCTTTCCGCTATTTATTTTGTACTCTTTTGATAAATGTTCAGTAAAAAATTGTAAGTAGGTAATTATTTATCATTTTTAGTAAAAAAAAGTTTTCTAATATTATTTCACTTGTATCATTCAAAAATGAATAAATCTAGAACCAGCTACATAGTCAGATTTCCTAGTTGTACATATTATTCATGAAATTATTTTATGGTCGTAGAAAAAATATTGTATGTCACTTATTTAAAAGTAATTTTTCACACTCGTTCTACTTCGTATTATATTTTTAACATTTTTCCTTATCAAAAATTGAATTAATTTTTAGTTTTATATACTTGGTGGTGGTTGGTAGTATTCTCTGCCCAACATACCTGGAGAAACCAACAACAATTTGATTTGGAAGGATTCGATAGGGAGATGCTGACTCTACAAAGTTCAACAAGAGTCGAAGAAGGTTTTCTAACTCCACCAAAAATGCATGTCTATAGAGGATCTTGCACGGATATTTCAGCTATGTGCAAAGCGCAAGGACAGACGCAAATTTAAAATATTTATGTAATACAAAACTTCTTAGATTTACAGTGTATTTAGTTTTAGAAATGTTTATGTCACAAACTTGTAAAGGTAAGTAATGAATTTGTCAAATAAGAAGGTACTTTTTACGAACATAACTAATGATTTTTAATCGACGATATAAAATAATGTCGTGTATTTAAATATTTTATTAGGGATTAAGGCATTTTGAAAACATTTTTACTGTTCTTAATCAATTCAAATTTTTTTATATTAAAAATCTGTTTCTATTATAAATATCATTTATTATAATTAAAAATTTTAGTTGCATTAATATCATTATTAAATTTCAGAAATAAAAATCATTATTCAGATGTCCTCTATAGATACCTATAGGTACCTTGACATTTCATTAAATTACAAACAGTTAAATGTCAATTTTTACCATTTAATAATATCAAAGGGTTGTAAATCATTGATATTATTAAAAAATAAAAATTTTTTTTAGAAAAGTTTATTTAGATAAGTTATTTGTTTCGTTTTTAAAATATTGATTGAATTATTAAACATATTTATATTTATTGAGTATTGTTAATTTTAACGTAAATATATTATGTAGGTATTATTTTTTATAACATTACTTCTCTTTTATTGTTTTACTACTAATTATATCCTATAATATACTATTTTGTCAGTGTCATAGTTAAATTCTGTTATTTCAAGTGTCATACCACTATAAAGTGGCAAAATTTCAAATACGATTTTAATGATATCGTCAACTCCATTGCATGAGTTGTCTGCCGCTCCCTGATGATTCTCCAATTAGGGCGAAACCAGTTTGAGAATGCCCGACTATTACTTGAATTTGGAGATATAGGTGACAGTATCGTACCGTATTTTTATTTATTAGAATTAAGACAATATATAGAATTTAGTTTTGTCAAGATTTAAATTCAATAAATATCAATAGAACTATTCGTAATCAATGTTATATTTCAAAATTACTTTTCAACTTCTTTTTGGACTTGTATAAAAAATATTTTACAGCCATTGTCCAGCAACTATTTATTACGTAATATGTTTTCGTGTTATGTGACCGGTACAAAATTTGACAGTGATTCATAGATAGCTAGGTTACCGTTTAGAACTATTATGTTGTAACAATGGTACTGATAAACGCAAAATGACATTTTTTTATTGTCTTGTCTGTCACACAAGAATAGGGACCATGGATAGGTAATAATTAAAATACATTACCAAAAATAAATCATATTTGTGAAGCAGTGATGAAAATAATAGTAGAATTCCGACATGTACCATATGGAGGTACATTGATAAGTAAAGCAAAAAGTATTGTCAGTGAAGTAGAAAGTACTAGGATTTTAAGATGTCCCTATTTAAAATTTATAAACTGTATCCCACATCAAGCAGTGGAGTCAAAAATACAAATATTGAATAGATTTTTCTCTATTGTTTTTTTTTTCCAGATTCTGGATTTTAGGTAGTAAAATTATGACGATTTCTATAACGTCCGTTGCAATGTTTACCTTTTAGCCAAAGGATATTTCTCAGCATTTTCATTACCTTGGTGTTATTAAGATTCCTTGAAAATTAACTCGTTGCCGCACAAATGTTACTTATTGCTATTGAATCAACAATTACAATTTTTATATTGTCAAAAAAAGGTAATATTCAAATTTTTCAGCAAACCTCGTATATGACTGAAAAAATTTGATATCTGATGCTCGCACTTTACACCATGCAAAACTTTTTTGACTAATAACTTTCTTTATAGAATCATTAATAAAAAAGTGTCCCATATGGTGTCCACTTAAGTAGACTCTCTGTATATACATATTCCATTTTCTTAAGGTCATAACATTTTATTTTTTAAATAAAATTTTTGTAGCATATTTTTAAAAAACTAAGAATAAAAGAAGTTCCAGTACTGTGCCTTAAGGAACACCACAACCAGTTTTTTAATTTTTTTTTTTTTTTTTTACTGTAGGTTACACTTTTTATTTTGACAGTCTGTGATCGATTAGGTATGTAATTTTTAAAATGGTATTCCTCTTATTCCAGAAGTTTTCAAAACCTCTAACAACTTTGTATGATTGACGGTGTCGAAGGCTTTAGACAAAAGCACATTACTAGCATTAGTTTGTCTAATTTTTTGTAGATTTTGCTTGTTAATACCCCCTTTTTGAACTCAAATTGGTTATCCGAGAGATGTTTAGATTTTTTTAGGAAATGCGTTCTTTAAGGGCTTTTTCGAAAAATGTTTTAAAGATTGTGATTAAGGGATATGGGTCGTTAGTTGATAATATTTTCTTTATTTCCTTTTCTAAAAATGTGTATTACACAGATCTTTTAAATCGAAAAATCGAAAAATCGAAAAATCAAAAAATCGAAAAATCAAAAAATCAAAAAATCAAAAAACCGAAAGTTCGAAAAATCGAAAAATCGAAAAATCAAAAAATCGGAAAATCGAAAAATTGAAAAATCAAAAAATCGAAAAATCGAAAAATCGAAAAATCGAAAAATCGAAAAATCGAAAAATCGAAAAATCGAAAAATCGAAAAATCGAAAAATCGAAAAATCGAAAAATCGAAAAATCGAAAAATCGAAAAATCGAAAAATCGAAAAATCGAAAAATCGAAAAATCGAAAAATCGAAAAATCGAAAAATCGAAAAATCGAAAAATCGAAAAATCGAAAAATCGAAAAATCGAAAAATCGAAAAATCGAAAAATCGAAAAATCGAAAAATGGAAAAATCGAAAAATCGAAAAATCGAAAAAAAAATTTTATGTTGGACATTCATTGCTAATTTGTAATATTAAAGAAAGCAGCAGAGCACCTAGGCAATTTTAAGTTATTAGGCCATTTAAAGCTATTTTTATGCTACTGGTTTTTTTGCAAAAATCGAAGTGCTCTGCTAGCTTTGTACGAAGTCAGCCTAAACATTGCTCAAACATGCTCAAATAGCAATTTTTAGTAAAGTTTTAAAATATTTCAAGAGCCTGAAAATAGTATAAAAATGCGGTGTGGTTGTTTTTAGAAAAAAGCTTTAAAAACCAAGTTGCCTTGCTAGCTTCGTTCGAAGCTGGCAGAAAACCTTGATTTATGTAAAAAACGAGGAGCATAAAATTTTTGAAGTGTATAAAAATAGCCTTAAAATAGCCTAAAAATCTAGCATAGGTTTCAACTCAAAATTGTCTGGGTGCTCTGCTGCCTTCTGTGAATTAAATTGTAGATTCTTACGTTTATCTTCTAAATATTAACAATCGGTCATCAGTCTTAGTTTGTTTCAGTTTACACTTCGCGACAAGTCAACGCGTGAGTCGACCGTTCGCGCAGGCGTAGTTTGGTCTCTAAAAGGATCCGAGACTAATATTGGTGATTCGAATACGAATCCTTAATAATTTCTTCGCGAACCCGGATCACGGATCTTTTTTTTCTTAAGTAATCGAATACCGCTCGCGGATCCTCATAAAGGATTCGAATCCCAGAATTCGAATCCTATGTGATTCGAATCCTCCCCAGCTCTGCTATTTATTATACAAATTATCACAAAGGTTTACCGATAATCTTTTGAGTACATTTTACTAGATCTGGTCGAATAAGTCCTACAGCCAACGTGCAGATTTGTGACTTAGTCTCATATGTTAAGAAAATAAGTCAGTTTTCAAGAGAGCTTGTAATGTCTATAACTACCTAAACGCCCCGGTCTGAACCTCGCGCTTTCGTGACACATATCTTACTACATTTTAATAATAAGAAAATAAGTCACTCGTACGCCCACTCACGCACCGCTTTAAACCTTGGAGAGAAAAATGGCCCAGCGAAATTGGTGAAGGAGATGAATTTTGTGAAACATATAACAAAAGCTTGAAAATAAACTAAAATCAGCCATAAGAAGAAAAGTCACACGTGCATGCCTTCTCACGCTTTTTTTTAAAGCGTTGGAGAAAAAAAATGGCCCATTGAAATTGATGAAGGGTTTAATATTTCTTGTAGGTGGGCACTTATGAGCATAACGAAAATGTTAAAATCAGTTTTTGAGAGGCACGTACCACTCTTGTAATATCAATAGCTATCCAAGCGCCCCGGTCTCAACGTGGAGCTTTCGTGAATTTGTTGGACACGCAGCATAGTACAATTTAATTATAAATTCAGCCATTAGATAATAAGTCACAAACCTGTACGTTGGGTCTAGGACTAAATATTATATTCTCCATCAGGAGATTTATTTGATTTTAAATTTTTTATTTCACGATTTACTTGTTTTAAAAATGAGTAATTCTTCTTTGCTCTTTTTGTACCAGGTGTTGGAGTAGTGTCCTTACTTGTGCTGCAAGTTTTTGCCAATACCGGCAAAAAAAGTTGAAGCTGTTTGCAAATTCACCTGGTATTAGTTCCGTATATCAACATATTTTTTGATAATATTTGTCTTTTTCTTTATATTAATACTGTTTGCAAGTTTCCATAAGTTTTTTGAATTAGTCTTATTTAAATGTATAAGCTTTTCGTAGAAGTATAATTGAATACTTTTATACTTCCTTTTAGTTAATTACATCATTGAATTTTTCTGATCGTGAGAATTAAAAAAGAACGAAATTCTGTGGCATTAAATTAATTTACATGCAGAATCATTTACAAAAATGTACCTACACTATAAAAGTGGTTGCCCGTATATGTTCCGCTACATAAATACTTATGTAAATAAACAATTAGGCGAACAATGGTTGGTAAGTATATGTATAGTTTGTAAATAAATATAATCTGCCTAAAATAAACAAGCGAAGGAGCGTGCTTGCAATTGTTTGTAGATACGATCCTCATAAGTCACCTGTGATCTCAGAATTCGAATCGTGAGATAGATATGGACAATGGTCAGTGGCGGAGACCAGCATAGAATAAAAACGAACAAAAAATATATTTTAAATAGACATTTTCCCTTTACAGAAAACAAAATACTCTTCTGGCTAATTACTCGACAGGCATTCAATTATATCTATAAATAGAATGCCGAGATAAAAAATAATGTTCAACACTATAGCTTTGATTTTCCTTACTAAGAAGAATGTGATTCTTAGACTGGTACGTCCTTATTAGGGTTCGTCAGCAAGAAATAAACATTCTCGATTCCAATCTTTAACAAAAGCTGTACATTTGTACAATTCATTTGTTTACCTGGATGTTGGTGGTCTGCAATCA